TTTTATTTTTCTTTGTAATTATTTTCATTAATTTTCATTTTACTATGTTACTTTTGTTCTATTTTTTGTGTTTAAAATTTTCCATAGCACCACAATGCGCTTTTATTTTCATGTATGCGTCGATTTATTTCCACCAAAACACTACTTTGCCGCCAAAATTCCCTTGCAAATCATCTACTTTATGCCTTTTCCCCAAAGAATGCGCCGGGGTACGATTTTTTCACATAAAATTACTGCGAAGCCACCACCAACTGCCACATGCTTCTTCTTCATGTTATACATACTCATTTGGTGACGCCACGATCTCTCCTCTCTCGCTCGCTCTATTCCTGAAATCATAAGAGACAACAACAACGACAACACAAATATGCAACTGACAACGAAAAACAGTTATTCTGCCAACGTCTCTCATTATTGAGAATTTTTATTTTTTCATACAAATGTAGCTTGACGCAATTTTCTTTCTCTTTTCAAATATTTTTTGTCGTCCTGAAAAGGACGGATTGGTTGATTTTTCTATGGAATCATACGATGGTCTGTATTCTTCTTCTTCATTCCATAATACCTTTCGAGATAATTTAGGCTTTCTTTTCGGTCTTCTTGGGCAAGAGAACAGCTTGGATGTTTGGCAATACACCACCTTGGGCAATGGTAACGCCAGACAGCAATTTGTTCAATTCTTCGTCGTTACGGATGGCCAATTGCAAGTGACGGGGAATGATACGAGTCTTCTTGTTGTCACGGGCAGCATTGCCAGCCAATTCCAAGACTTCAGCAGCCAAATATTCCATGACAGCGGCTAAATAGACGGGAGCACCGGCACCAACACGCTCAGCATAGTTGCCTTTGCGCAACAGACGATGGATACGACCGACGGGGAATTGAAGACCAGCACGATTGGAACGGGACTTTGCCTTTCCCTTAACTTTGCCACCTTTACCACGACCAGACATTTTCACTTTATTTTAGTTTTAAACACTTCACTTAAGCACTGAAAAACACAAATGATAAAAATTTTCGCCCCGAAACGTGCTATTTATACTTTTCTCACACACACATTACTTCAATAATGGGGTGGTTTGCCTTGTGTGTGCCTACTAGCTGTGACTACCTGAAATTCTTGTCGACTACAATCTACAAATTCTGTATAGCTGGCCGTTTTGGTTATCATTTGTGAACAGTGTTAAAAGTGTTTGTGTGATTCAAAAAAAAATAATAAGTGAAAATGCCTCCTAAAACCAGTGGTAAAGCAGCAAAGAAGGCCGGCAAAGCCCAAAAGAACATTACCAAGGGCGATAAGTCGAAGAGACGTACCAAGCGTAAGGAGAGTTACGCTATCTACATTTACAAAGTGTTGAAGCAAGTCCATCCCGACACCGGTATCTCCTCCAAGGCCATGAGCATCATGAACAGTTTCGTCAACGATATCTTCGAACGTATTGCCGCCGAAGCCTCTCGTTTGGCCCACTACAACAAGCGCTCGACCATCACCAGTCGGGAAATCCAGACCGCCGTCCGTCTATTGTTGCCCGGTGAATTGGCTAAGCACGCCGTCAGTGAAGGTACCAAGGCTGTTACTAAATACACCAGCTCCAAGTAAATGTCTTGATATTTTTCATTTTCATGCGTCGAAATACTACCTTAAAAGGCCCTTTTCAGGGCCACAAAAAACATTTCAAAAGAGATCATATTTTTGTTGAAACTACAATTTATCATTATTTAGTAATAAACGAATAAAATTCCATAGGAAATATATTTTTCTCTATACAATGATTTTTCCATACATTTAGCTAACTCGCATATGTGCCTATGTTTAACCTTTGCTTGCTTGCTTGTGCGATATGCTAAAACAGCCATCGTCGTCGTATATGTGTGCGTGTGTTAGTGGTGATTTGCCTTGCCGTCGTTGATCAACATCGAATGGGCATCATGTATGTGTGAGCATTTTGATACAGCACAACGGCAAAGCAACGAAATATAAGGCTGAGGCAGAAATGTTCAATGGAAAAAATGTATTGATGGAAAATGTAAATATTTTGCCAAAATGTCATTTTTGGATGAAATTCATGAAATTTAACAGAGAATATGAAAATGACAAATTTTTCAAAATTAAGTAGAAATTATAAAATTGACCAAATTATGGGGATTTTCGAGAATTATGACCTGTGGGTAATTAGGAAAAATTTTAAATATTTTATTATCTTTTATGACCTGGGTTAAAAAATAATCCAGTGGCGTCCACGATTATATTGGCTCAATAAAATTACCTAATAAGAACAGTAATTAGCGAAAGTAATTTTTTCAAACACGTGTACAATTTTTTTTTAGGTAACAAATATATACGATAACTGTTGAAAATAAATATTTTTCTCTTTTTTAATTTAATTTGTAGCCCTGAAAAGGGCTGTTAGATAGTATGTTTTCGAATATCGAAAATATTGTGGAAAAAGTAATCTTTCTGGGAAAAATTACTTCTTGGCGGCGGTTTTCTTAGCAGCTGGCTTCTTTGCTGCTGCGGCCTTTTTGGGCTTAGCAGCTGCAGTTTTTGCCTTGGGTGCCTTTGGTTTAGTGGCAGATGCTTTGGCGGCGGTCTTTGCTGGTTTAGCTTTAACTGTACCGGTTTTCTTGGCAGCCTTTGCCTTTGTTTTGTCGGCCTTCTTCTTTTCAGCGGTCTTCTTGGCGGCAGAGGGTTTTTTGGCAGCTGCCTTCTTCTCACCAGCGGCCTTTTTAGGGGCGGCAGCCTTCTTCTTTTTGTCACCAGCGGCTGGGGCCTTCTTCTTCTTTTCAGCAGTCTTGGCTTTGGGTTCCTTAGAGGCCGAAGCAGACAATTTGAATGAACCAGAAGCACCCTTACCTTTAGTTTGGATCAATTTTCCACTGGCAACGGCACCTTTCAAGTACTTCTTGATGAAGGGGGCCAATTTTTGGGCATCTACTTTGTAGGTGCTGGCCAAGTATTTCTTGATGGCGGGCAATGATGAACCTCCACGTTCCTTCAGGGTCTTGATGGCGGCATCAACCATTTGCTGGGTTGGAGGGTGGGTAGGGGCAGCTGATGGCTTCTTTGCTTTGGCAGCGGCTTTTTTTGGTGCCTTTTTCTCAACAGCGGCAACTGGGGAGGCGGTGGCTTCAACAACGGCGGCGTCAGACATGGTTATTCACTGTTTGGTTTATATTTCACTGTTAACACAAATACACTCACAAATTTATGTGTACTATTATTTTTGTTAGCGGCGAGCTAAAGTGTAGGTACATCGAAAAGATGAGATGTGCATAGTAGTCAATTGGTAAATTTTTCGAAAGATTGTGTGGAAGCGTGTTTAATTTTTTACAAAAGTTTTCGGAGAAATTAAATTTTCCTGAAGAAGCTTTGATAATTTTCACTAAAAATGTTTTATACCTTTAAAGTATAGATTTCAGGCTATGTTTTAAAGAAAGTTTGGTGTAATTATCACTTGCCGTTTGTGAATTATAAACGTTTAACTTGGCAGATTATAAAAATGTAATCACAAATTTCCAACTAAAATTTAAAAAAATCGAATTTTTTATGAAAAATTAATTGAAAATTCTTTTTGAAAATGTAGCCTGATATGTTTACTTTAGGATCAAAGAAAAATATCGATGAAATTTCATATTTTACTATGTGAAAAAATTGAAATTATTATGTGGTCTATGACAGCAGAAATCCTCTTGTTGGCATAATTTCAATGAAGAAAAGTTTTTCTTGAAATAAATTTGAAAGCTCAAATCTTAATAAGTTTTATAAAAATTTCTTAAAAAACATTTCAGAATTTGTATATTTACATCAAAATATAACATTATTCACAAAAAGTCATAATTTACGGGGAAAAGTTACAAAATCCCCAGAATACTTCATACTACCAATGTACAGGCATTCACTGACAAACGGCTATGTATTTTCATTTTGCAATATTTTTTATGAAATTTAACATAATTTGTTCTAAAATTGTTTAAAAATAGTAGTAGAAGCCATTTTCTACGTTATTTTGTCAAATTTTTGTTAATTTTATGAAAAAATATTCCCAAAAAGAAATTCCTCTTTACAGCCAAATATCACCTAGAACACTTGAAAATGTCATGAAATTAATTGCGTTTTACAAAATTGTTTTTCGATCAACTTCAAAGGTAAATATTATTGTCATTTCTTTTTATAATACTTTTAATTATATTTTACATCAAAATTCTCAACAAATCAATTATTTTCTTCTTAAATTTTTAAAAAATAATAAATTATTACCAATTTTTCTAAATACATCCTGCAAAAATAATTTTGTAATTCCTTACGGAGAAATTCATATTCAAATGTCTTAAAATGCGTATAAAACATTTAAAAATTTTGCTGAAAAGGAATAAAACATATTTCATACATCATTCCTGAAAAAAATAAATAGGAGGGACAACATTTTAGCTGGAAATTTTTAAAATGCACATGAAATAATTCGTAGAAATTGAAGGCAGAGAATTTTTCCCGTTAAATTGAATAGTCCACAAAAGAAAAAAAATGATCGAAGGGGAATAAAATGAGAGAAATAGACAAATTTCGCGCCAAAAATCATAAAGAGAGCAATTTTTTGTTTAACGGGAAAAGGAAAAAAAATGGACAAAAAAAAATCCCGTTAGCAAAATGTATGTGGTGGTTGTTTTTATGAGTCATAGCATTTTTTTCGAAGAGGGAGTACAAAAATGATAATAATTTTGCAAATTAAAGGAAAATATCAAAATGGATAATTCAAAAAATTCAAATAAAATTAAAAAAATAAAATATTCGATCAAAATAAAATAAAAAATTAAATAAAAAAATAAAGTGTCGAAAAATCATCAACGAAAAAAAAAAAAAAAACAACATCAAAAAATATATCTTTATTTTAAAAATGTTAATTGTTGAAAAAGTAATCATAGCCCTAAATTATTTTTATTTATTTCAAAAAAAATACTAAAAATTGTAGATTGAGTGAAAAAATATCTCTTTTTATAAAATATTTGTGGTCCTGAAAAGGACCGATTGTTTTGTTGTAAAATTGTTGCTTTTAAAACGTCAAGAATTTAAGCACGTTCTCCACGAATACGTCTGGCCAATTGGATATCCTTAGGCATGATGGTGACACGCTTAGCATGGATGGCGCACAAGTTAGTATCTTCGAAAAGACCAACCAAGTAGGCTTCACTGGCTTCTTGCAAGGCCATAACAGCAGAGCTCTGGAAACGCAAGTCAGTTTTGAAATCTTGAGCGATTTCACGAACCAAACGTTGGAAGGGCAATTTGCGGATCAACAATTCAGTACTCTTCTGGTAACGACGGATTTCACGCAAAGCAACTGTACCAGGACGGAAACGATGAGGCTTCTTAACACCGCCGGTGGCTGGGGCACTCTTACGGGCAGCTTTGGTAGCTAGTTGTTTACGGGGAGCCTTTCCACCGGTCGATTTACGGGCAGTTTGCTTAGTACGAGCCATTTTTCACTTGAATTTTTTCACTTCACTAGAGATATGCACACAAACACGGTTAACACTGTAATAAAGTTGCCATCGCCAAGAAAACGAGTATTTATAGAAAATTGTGCTCTTAGCATCAACTTTCGGGGTTGATATGTTAGTGAATTCTTACCTATCGGTATACCAAATGTACACGCACACACAAAAGAGAACATACAATACTAACGGCAAATGTACACACACACATATAACTGTACATACTTTACTTGTGCGTTGAATGGTTGGAGAGAGCCTCAAATTTTGTATAAATACAAGCGGACCTGGGTTGAAAAAACATTCGTATTTTGAACGTTAGTGAAGTGATAAGTGAAATAAACTAAAGTGAAAAAATGACTGGTCGTGGTAAAGGTGGTAAAGGCTTGGGAAAAGGTGGCGCTAAACGTCACAGGAAAGTGCTCCGTGATAACATCCAAGGTATTACCAAGCCAGCTATTAGACGTTTGGCTCGTCGTGGCGGTGTAAAACGTATCTCTGGCCTGATTTACGAAGAAACTCGTGGTGTTCTGAAGGTGTTCTTGGAAAACGTTATTCGTGATGCTGTCACCTACACCGAACATGCTAAGCGTAAAACCGTCACCGCTATGGATGTCGTATATGCTTTGAAGAGACAAGGCCGTACCTTGTACGGTTTCGGCGGTTAAACAAATTCTTGACGCAATTTGGAGAAATCTTTTTTTACAACAAAACAATCGGTCCTTTTCAGGACCACAAAATATATCAAAAAAGAGATACTTTCTTGTTGAAAACTATTTTTTAAATTAAAATAAATAAAAAATAAACACTTACCTTAGGAAATATAGGAATTTTATTTTAAAATTTCTAATAATTTTCTTTTTCAGCTTTCTCGTATTTTTTTCTCACAATTCATGAAAAATGTCTAAAAATCAAATAAAGAAAAAATATAAATACTTACTCGTTTCAATTTTCTCCAGAATATTTTCACCGAAAACCTTGTTTTACCGATGTCTCGTATTTTATTCCCGATCATAAACATGCCGTCGGCAACTCACATCGCTAAACACATTTAGTTATTCTTCTTCTTCCTTTTCGTATAATATGAGTATAACATAGCGTCGCTTTATGTATGTATTGGTATTATTTAGTTGATATTACTAAAGAACAACCATGCTGTGGTAGCAAAGGAATTTCATTTTGACTTTTTCAAACATTGTTGAATCTTTCTCAAAATTTAATTTGAAATTGTTGAAAATATTTATTAAATAGATCGTTGATTCATATTATTTTAAAAAATTTCATTAAAAATTTGCAAATTATTCACTAATCATTTCCTTTAAAATTGTATCGAAAATTAAAATCGTTGAATTTTATTTAAAAATTCTTCATTAAATGAATTTTATTTTATTTATGTTCAATTTTCTTATTTAATTTTCAATTAATTTCTATTTAATTTTTCATTAGATTTTTTTTTTTAAATCACATTTTCGTTTTATTTAAAATTATTTTATTTATTTCCTTATTATTAATTTAAAATTATTTTATTTATTTCCTTATTATTAATTTAAAAATTTGTGATTTCATTTAAAGTATCTTTTATTTTCATAAAATGTATTTATTATTCAAAAATTCTTTAATTTATCTTTAAATATTTTCATTAAAATTTGCTTAAATTTTCATTAATATTTGCCTTAATTTTTAAAAATTTTCTTATTTTATTTTAATTTAATTATTAATTTACGTTATTTTATTTTTCTTTGTAATTATTTTCATTAATTTTCATTTTACTATGTTACTTTTGTTCTATTTTTTGTGTTTAAAATTTTCCATAGCACCACAATGCGCTTTTATTTTCATGTATGCGTCGATTTATTTCCACCAAAACACTACTTTGCCGCCAAAATTCCCTTGCAAATCATCTACTTTATGCCTTTTCCCCAAAGAATGCGCCGGGGTACGATTTTTTCACATAAAATTACTGCGAAGCCACCACCAACTGCCACATGCTTCTTCTTCATGTTATACATACTCATTTGGTGACGCCACGATCTCTCCTCTCTCGCTCGCTCTATTCCTGAAATCATAAGAGACAACAACAACGACAACACAAATATGCAACTGACAACGAAAAACAGTTATTCTGCCAACGTCTCTCATTATTGAGAATTTTTATTTTTTCATACAAATGTAGCTTGACGCAATTTTCTTTCTCTTTTCAAATATTTTTTGTCGTCCTGAAAAGGACGGATTGGTTGATTTTTCTATGGAATCATACGATGGTCTGTATTCTTCTTCTTCATTCCATAATACCTTTCGAGATAATTTAGGCTTTCTTTTCGGTCTTCTTGGGCAAGAGAACAGCTTGGATGTTTGGCAATACACCACCTTGGGCAATGGTAACGCCAGACAGCAATTTGTTCAATTCTTCGTCGTTACGGATGGCCAATTGCAAGTGACGGGGAATGATACGAGTCTTCTTGTTGTCACGGGCAGCATTGCCAGCCAATTCCAAGACTTCAGCAGCCAAATATTCCATGACAGCGGCTAAATAGACGGGAGCACCGGCACCAACACGCTCAGCATAGTTGCCTTTGCGCAACAGACGATGGATACGACCGACGGGGAATTGAAGACCAGCACGATTGGAACGGGACTTTGCCTTTCCCTTAACTTTGCCACCTTTACCACGACCAGACATTTTCACTTTATTTTAGTTTTAAACACTTCACTTAAGCACTGAAAAACACAAATGATAAAAATTTTCGCCCCGAAACGTGCTATTTATACTTTTCTCACACACACATTACTTCAATAATGGGGTGGTTTGCCTTGTGTGTGCCTACTAGCTGTGACTACCTGAAATTCTTGTCGACTACAATCTACAAATTCTGTATAGCTGGCCGTTTTGGTTATCATTTGTGAACAGTGTTAAAAGTGTTTGTGTGATTCAAAAAAAAAATAATAAGTGAAAATGCCTCCTAAAACCAGTGGTAAAGCAGCAAAGAAGGCCGGCAAAGCCCAAAAGAACATTACCAAGGGCGATAAGTCGAAGAGACGTACCAAGCGTAAGGAGAGTTACGCTATCTACATTTACAAAGTGTTGAAGCAAGTCCATCCCGACACCGGTATCTCCTCCAAGGCCATGAGCATCATGAACAGTTTCGTCAACGATATCTTCGAACGTATTGCCGCCGAAGCCTCTCGTTTGGCCCACTACAACAAGCGCTCGAAGGCTGCTTGGAAAAAGCTCATTTATTGTTTTAAAAAGCTTTTAGATGTGTTTGGTTGTGGTCCTCGCTCAATGGTGGTGGAAGTTGCTAATATTCACCATTGTGGTGGGTTGCGTTCAATGTGAACTTGTGTTGAAGCTTTGTTATGCAGGTATAAATGCTTTGTTTTCTATTTTTTCTATTTTACTCACCACACTGTTTTACGTGGTGAGCTTGATGACAGCTTTGCACTTGATAATTCAACTCTTTGGTGATTGTCTTGGATACAACAGGTGAAATGCTTTGTATGTACAAAAGCTTTAAATAGATGTTAGTTTGAAAATCACTTGTGCGAATGCGATTACATGTAGGCATGAAGGAACTTTAGCATGTAATTATTAGAAGCGCCATCTGTTTTCTAATTTACGATATTAATTTGTCGTATATTATAACAGAATGGCTTAGCTTTTTCAAACTAAGGCTTTGATGTGGGAAACTTTTACAGGTTATGTGAGGCACCATCTATATTCTGATTTGGGTATTATTTGATGTATATTATAACAGAATTACACAAACTTTTTCGAACACTTATGGTATAACAGAATTCTCTACCTGTTTCGAACACTTAAGGGTTTACAAAAACAGGATCGTCAAAAAGTAAACAACAAGTAGGCAAATTAATTATGAAAATAATATTAAAGTTAAATATTGTTGTTGCTAATTTAAATGTACAGGTGTTATTTTCAACTGGCCGAAATATGTGATCGTTGTGATGCATTAAATGCATCGCTTACACAATGAAAAATTGTTTGGTGTGGAAATGTTTAAGATTTCAAATCAAAGTAATGTACTTTGCCAACGAAATTCGTAGTCAGGTGACGTAAATGTGACTGCTTTATACAACTTCCAAATGATCATATATTATGATGATATATTATACCTGCTCCATGTTTTGTGTGTAAGCGACCTTAGTATGATTAATACGATTTCTTTAACTTACCTGTTCTTCAGATTGTGATTGGTTCAACAGGTAGCGGGGTTGCTTGCAGGTCATATCAATAACGCACGAAGATATAGTTCTCAGGTATAGAAATAGTTTTCTGGTATATAACTTTTATATTTTACATTTTACTTTACATTTATACATTTTCGAAAGACACAGCAATCGAAACTCTATTGAATGGAAAATTTGTCGTTTTCATGCAACCACAGTCGAATAGAGGCTATAAACTTATAATATTTCCTTTGCAAATCTCATTTCATCGTGATAAAATAGGTCGTAAGTTGTTAATTTCATTAACGTAGAAATCTAATTTCATAATTCGGACAAAAGGTTTAACAATTTTTATAAAAAGGGTTATATGAAATAGATTTTAATGTTCAACATTTATTTCTTCTTCGGTAAAATTAGTTTTTGATTTAGAACAAAAATGTTTCTGTGCCACACGTTAAGCGTTAAAGTCATATGTAGTAATGTGTAGGCATGGAAGAATTAGACACGTACGTCCTTTTGAAATAGTGACAGGAAAAGTTCACAAAAATACTATTGAGATGAACCTAATATATATTCCAACAGAATGCTTTAGACAGCGAAATGTTGAAATATTTCCTCAAACGTTATAAGGGAACGTATGGAAATCGTGTGCAAAAGAATGCATTGCACTGTTTTTCTAAGGCTATCGATAATAAAACGAAAGAAGGCAATCACCCGAACTTGACTTAAATTGGGGTTATCTAAACTCATAGATTTCTTGCGACTAGCTTTATATATATATCATACAAAATGAAACAGTATTTTCACAACAAATTTTATAATCAATGAAACAGTATTTTCACAACAAATTTTATAATCAATAAGGAACTAATGCCAAAATTAACAAAAACATTTCTAAAAACAAGTAATAAGTAATCTACAACACTACAATATGTTAAAATCTATTTTGAAAGATTTCGTTTTTGAAATGATGTCATGTGAAATGATGAATGTGACATACAAATTTGAGTCAAAACCCACTTTTTGGAAGAATGTTTCCGTTTTTTTTTTCTCAAATTGTCGATTCAAGTCATCATTCGAGTAAAACCCAAAACAGATTCCTTTAAATTTAGCAGCGAGAAGCCCATCGTTTGCCTTATATAAGCAGCGCAAAAACTACACATTTTTAAGCCTCAAAGTCTTTACACAAATGTTAAATTACAATATTACCAAGAAGCAGTTACCCAACATACCAAAGATAAATTAAACGACCATCAGTTTGAGAACAACATTACACCAATAGTTTATAATAACAACTAACGATGCTTATGAATATTTATTGTGCACAAATTTTTCTCACGTGAGTCCTTCGTTGATAAATTATTTTTCATTTTTTTTTTCAATTGTAAAATTGTCAGAAAAAAGTTTCCTCTTTTAGTAAAAGGAAAAATCACGAGAAATTGTCACACATTTCCGGACCGATTTTTTAAAAAAAAATGATGAATTTATTGAGAATATGTTGTATTTATAAAATCCAATCTCATTTCAAACTGGACACATGAAAAAAATTGCAGGATTTCAAGAGTAATATTTTTTAAAGAGATGCAGAATCTCAAATAAGGGAAACGAAAGAAACAAAGGCAAATGGGATGACCATGAACATCATCATACACTATTACAACAATAAGCTTCTATAAAATTAAGCTTATTGTACAATAGCAAGTATAAACCAATTTATGAGGAATAAAATTTCGATTACTCTTTATTAAACACTCATTTCGTAACACATTCTCAAGTTTTTTTATAATATTATTCTCAAGCCATTTTGGTATGTTGGGTGTTCATACTGTTTATATCACAAGTAAAAATTTATTAAAATTGTAAAGTACAGTATAAAATCTAAAATTAGGAAAAATCAACATATTGGTACTTACTTATTTTACATTTTCCACATAAACAGCAGCGTCCGTAAATTGTATTGTAAATTTAGCATTAAATGTGGCACTGACTACACATATCCGTCTCTTCGTATATAGACTATCTTCGCAACCTGTGAAAAATGAAAATAATTAGTATAAGAATAGCAATAACCTTATTATTTGCGCACTATTAAGACAATTTAATAGCTGCGCAATATTATTGATATTTTAAAAGACATTTGCAGGTATTATGTTATAAAATTCGAAATGGAATTATGTTATAAAATTCGAATAGTACAAATAAAAAGTGCACAGTCTTATCAATATTAACTTTTCCTTTCGTTACATAAAATTCGACGTTTTTGACCACACAAGTAAAACTCATGCTACCGAAATACGTCGAACGAAATATCAAAGTTGAAAATTTTCAACATTGACAATTGAACAAATATTTTTTTAGTCGAAAATAAAACCTAATAACACAAAGCTGAGAATGTTTATAAATAGCAATTTTTACAACGTTAATTGTTGGTAGTTTTAAAGATATGGACCTGGCGAAAAGTGGTTCCATTATGGATTTGTTATATTATAGCGCCAAAAATTTTGCTACGAAATTCTGCGTTACATCAAATTCAAGTAGTGTTGATAATGCAAATGATTTTTTTCTTAGAGTATTATAAAGTACCTACTAAATGTATGGGGGTTATACGATATCGTGGACCTATATACACAATACTCTTCCAGGGGAAAATGTACTCAGAAGGAACTCCTTGTGTGGATTTTCAGTCAATTTCATTGAAATTTTTCGCTACAATCATCAAAATACCGAAAATGGGGGGTATCGTTGTATGGGGGCTATATGATATCGTGGACCGATATAGTCCATCTTGACCTGCCTGCAGACAAAAGACTGACCTGCGCAAAATTTTAGCTTCCTATCTTTATTTGTTTTGACTGTAGCGTGATTACAACAGACTGAAAGACAGACATACTACGGACAGATGGACGACGGAAGCACCCTCAACTACGTCTGGATAGAAACCCCACACGCATACATTGAAAAAATTATCATAGATGAACATTAAGCTAACAATGCGTCACTGTAATATAAAAGACAATGAAGCTGCGATCGAATTGGTGTGCTGATGATTTCGTAAGCGATTTTATAATCAAAAATCAGTACAGAAAGTCTTAAAGTCGGGCGGGGCCGACTTTATGATACCCTACACCACTTTGCTAATTTAGGAGAGCTCCACATAACAATTAAAAGTTTTTATGGGAGAATTCAATCATACACGCTATCATTATAATTATAATTTAAAGTTCAAAGGACTAAATATGCCGAAGCATTTGTATCTTTTAAATTCGTACTTCTATTGGCCATTTGGTACACAATAAAAGGTAAATCGGCCGAAGTTATATATGGGAGCTATATCCAAATCTGAACCGATCTCGATAAAATTAAGCAAATTTATTTCTGAGCTGTATTTGATACATTCCCCAAATATTGTTGTTACGGAGTGCATATTACGGCTGCGGAGGACAAAATAACAAATCGGATGAATAATATATATATAGGGGAGCTTTAGCTATATCTGAACCGATTTCGATCAAATTTGGCATACTTATTTTCAGACCTAATTTGGTTGTATATGCAAAATTCCATACTATTCGGGCTGATATTACACGTTTGGTGCACCATAAAAAGCAAATCGGACGCAGATATATATGGGAGCTATATCTAAATTTTGACCGATTATCTCCAATTTCAATAGGGTTCGTTCTTGGCCCATACAAATGATTTGTGCAAAATTTCATCTGGATAGGGCAAATGCGAACTGTACTTTGTTTACAAAAATACATGGACGGACGGACGGACATGCATAAATCGATTCAGAATGTGATTCTATGCAGATCATCAAAAGGAACTATGGGATAGACCTTTTGCCTGTTACCCTGACCAACTTGGTGTAGGGTATAAATATGTAAAAGTAACATCAAATTAACCTTAATTTAAATAAAACCTTAATTCAAAGGAATGTTACGAAAATTAATACAGAATCGCAAATATATAAAAGTGGAAAAGTGATAGGGACAAGTGAGCAGCTGTTGGAAATACTACAGGAACCATTCTGTAACCTTTGGAAATCATTTCCAGCAATAAGACTTCTTTTTTTGGCAGAAATTGCAAGAAATATTAAAACGTACGATACAAACAATATAAATTGTTTTCAATTTCTAAGTTTTTGCTATTCGAATATTTTCTTTTAGGTTATTCTAAAACAAATGAAACTGTACTACAAAAGATGTGTGATGCCAACAACAATGGAATAGCACAACATAAACAGGGAAGTTCATGACCAGCAGATGTTTAACATAAAATAAAATTTTTGTATTTGAACAATGTTTTCTACAGAAGGATTGTGCTGTACAAAGGACTGTGAAACAACCCTTATTTTGGCTATTTATAAAAAAACCAGTTGCATATTACGTACACCAAAGGCAATTTAACGACAGCTGCAATATAGCGTTACTCAACCCTTATTTCATATTTCTATCTGGGATTATGAAAAACGTCAAAGCGTATGTACTACATGTAGTGCTGGTTTATTTATGTACTGCATTCCTACAGTATGCTAAAAGTACGCGCCATTTTTTAAATTCCATTGTAAGAGACTAAACAAAAGTAAATGATATGCCTTCTGGCAAAGAGTATTTTTGGCGAGAATGAAACGTTGGTATGTTTCGTTACGAATCAATAGGTAAGCATAATCCTTGACTTGAAATAGTCACTAGTAATACAGACATTGAGGTAACAATCAAGCACCGTACTTTAGATGTATATGTGGATTTTAATGCTCACCAAGAGTTGTAGCGCTAAGTCCAAGACCAGAGAGTAAAGCGATGGTAGAGCAAATAATTGCTAAAGGTTGTAAAAAAAGAGAGGGTGCTTGCCACAGTTCGCCAGACCATCGACGTAGCCAGAAATGGATTCGAAATTACTACCACGGAGGCCTAAACGGTAAAAAGTAATAATTTCAAGCAAACTGCTTAAAATTATCTACAAATTTATGCTTTCGGTGGGCTAGAAATATTCATCGAATTATATAACTATTTTCAGTCCATTTTTTTTATCATACAGCGAAACATAAGGAAGCCCACAGCGCCCATAACTTATAAAGGGTGTCGCAACTAGAACACAGCAATTATGCTCCAAAAGAATCAACTGCAAACAGATTAATGGATACATTTGCCGAAACTGATTTGGAGTGATGTAAAGATAACAATCAATCAATCGATCACTTCAATCGACCGAAAATATTACAGCTGTACGTGATGATGTCGCTCAAACTCCATTCAATTCAATTCGTCACCGAGCTAAGCAAATTGGTGTCACCAAATTGTGACGAAAGGTTTTCATCTTCATTTATAAAAAGTTTAATTGACTCATTAACTTAAGCCAGCTGAACATGGGCAGCGAAGGCAGTTCCCTAATTTGGTATTGGAGAGACATGAAAATGTTAATTTTGACGACAAAATTAGTTTCAGTGTCGAGTCCCATTTCCATCATGATGTTTTCGTCAATAGGCAGAATTGTTGCATCCTCGAGTGATTCGCGAGAAACAAATGCCTCCTCAACGTGCCACAGTTAGATCTGGTTTTTGGGCTGGAGGAAACGCCAGAAATGCCCGTTTTGATCGTGGCGATGCTTTACACGAATAAGCCGACAACAACTCAAGTCTTATCAAAGTAAATTGCACACTGCATTTATGAAAACTGGTCTTTGAAAAGTTAATTAAAATATCCATCTGACACCATCTGCATAATATATTGATTCATACATAACATCATTCTGATACACGCCCTATTAACCGCTAAATCTCCGAAGGCGAGAATGTAAATGGATGATGTTACACATGTCCGAACAGAATATTCATCAGAATATTGAAGCAACTAAATGAGCCGGGCGTAGAATACTCAGCACAAATCGTTCGTAAGGCCTAAAACATGTATACAATTGTGCTTGTGAATAAAACCCGTCAATTTATCTATATATCAGCAACACTGTACCCCAACAGCATTACTAGAGGGAAAACCAGACCATGCTTTTAAGGAACCGCCCTTGAATCATTGACACTGTTTTTCATACCAAACGGTTCGAGACCGTCGAAAACATTATACAAAAATCCAAATAGCATAGCCCTTTAGAGTAATACTATGAGTTTCCCAAATCGGCTACGTTTACCATATGGCATGGATGATTTAGTTATGCATTGTACAATCGTGGTGATCGAGTTATTTCGTTGTGGATAAGCAGTCCCTTTCGATACGAGCGACATGAAAATCGAACACTTAAAGATAACATTCGACTGATTCTTAAGTCCGCAACTATTTGCGTCAAATTGGAAAGTAGAATAATCATAGAAAAAAGTGAGCTGTGTCATTCTGTATACGAACCGGAGATTGAAATTTCCCCGTGAGCAAGGCTATAATAAAATTATTTGACGGAAGTAGAAACCGGCTCAATCTTTGACAATAAAGGAAGACATGTGTCTGAACTTGCTCCTTGTGTGACGTTATTAAATAGACATTGGTTACATTGATTACAGGAAATATGATATGGGAGCCGAAAAAACATTTCCCCGTGTGGCAGCCTATAACAAAATTATTCCGGCGAATAGTGAAGCCTGCTCATTGCAAACTAAAGCCAACAACAGTCGGCGTACAGTAAATGTGACAATGTACAGTAAATGTGACACTAAAACTGAAATCTTGAAATACATTGTAATGTGTGAAGCCAAAACAAGGTATGCTGGCTTTCGACACAAAGATTTAATATTTTTGTATTCCATCGTATGATAAAGATTGTAAAAATAGAGAATTTTACTAATGGTTAATTATTAATTTCGAATAATTTTATACGTTTTTCTACATATATGTTATGAAAAAAAAAAAAACAAATTATGGGTACTTACTTGCTTTACAAATCCAAATAAGTAGTCACATCTTTCAACGGGCGATATAAACAATTAGATTCACTGACCACAAATATCCACTTATCGGTGATTATTATCGAATACTTTCATAACCTGAGAAAATATAAAACTAATTAGAGTTTTTCTTCAAATAAAATTTGGTTATTTAAGTACAATCAACAAAATATAGAGACACATTTGAAATAAGGTACAATATCATTAAGATTTTAATAGTTATCTGTGACTTTAAATGCAGGCACTCATACTGGAATTGTGAACGGAATAATACGGGGGGAAATACGAGTTATAACATGCTTCACTGCAATAACTTGCAAATAGTTTTGTCCTCCCAACAATTCCTGTATACCAGTGGATCCAGGAAGGCGACCGTCTTTGAACAAACGGAAATAAATTATGGAACAAGACCTTGTCCGAATTAGATACTTCTTCTTAGCTGCTATGGAGAGTTTCTAAAGTATTAAATCTAAGAACTAAACACATTTCTACCTTATCCCTCAACCATACCTCCTATCATTCTGCACTAGATACATGTAAAATAATAGCTAAGCATTTTGAAAGAAACCATAACCATAGAAATCATCCTAGTAATCCTGTTCCTATACATAAAGTTAATGCCATCTATAAATGCAATCTATAAATAGAAACATTGGTGAAAACAATCTACCGATGGCTTATCAAAAAAATTGGAGAATAGAAAACCCCTGGATTGGACACAACAAATGTTTGAAAATTTATCCAAAAAGGCGAAAAATGTATAAAACAGCTATTTTAAATTCATGCTTATAGAGTTATTGGAAAAGTTAAAAAAATATTCATTACTAAGGCGAAATAAGGCTTTAGATTGCCTTCGTCTTACAGACCACTAAGTTCATAGTAAAAATTAGAATCCAAAAAAAAAAAAAAAAAGAAAATACTGCAATTTATAAAAACGAATCAAATTCTACGGCTCAAGAGATTGGGTTCAAAAAAAAAAAAAAAAAAAAAAAACATAATATAGTTCAACCCTTGTTGGGAATTAAAAAGGTTGTTCTTGAAAAATTAAGAGCTGGACAATAAACAGGAATGGTTCTTTTGGACAAAAAGCTGCTTTTGACTCGAATTTGAATTCCCATTTTTGCTGATTGCACTTCTAGTTTTATATTATACTAGCCAAACATTCATCAGAATATTGAAGCAACTAAATGAGCCGGGAGTAGAATACTTAGCTCAAACCGTTCCCGAGGCATAAAACATGTATACAATTGTGCCTTGTAAATAAAGCCTGTCAATTTATCTATATATCAGCAAGATTGTACCCCAACACGATTACTGGGGGGAACAATTAGACATTCCGTTCATAGAAACGCCCTTGAGTTTTTCATACAAAATTGTTCGAGGACGTCGAAAATATCATAAGGAATTCCGGAAAGCATAGCCCTTTAGAGTAATAAGGCGAGTTTCCCAAGGTGTAGTGGTATCTCCCTTTAGCGGCTACTTTTACCAGATGGTATGGAAGTTTTAGTTATGCTTTGTACAATCATGGTGGTCGAGTTGTTTCGTTGTGGATAAGCAGTCTCTTCGCTACGAGCGACATTCGACTGATTCTTGAGTCTGCATCTATTTGCGTCAAATTTGAAAGTAGTATAATCATAGAAAAATATGAACTGTGTTATTCTGTATACTAGTCGGAGATTGAAATTTGCAGGGTATTATAAAATTAGGCTACGTAGGTAGAAGCCAGCTCATTGCCAAATCAAATCCAACAACAGTCGACGTTCTAACGTACAGTCTCTTTGCTGTAAAACATATACATATGCACAAAATATTTATATTTTCATATGAATATGAGTGCCCAACATCGAAATGTAAAATTTTTATACCCTCAGACATATGGCTATATCATTTTATATATTGCCCCATCGAAATAACGTTTTAGACCCTAGGTCTCTTGAAACTAAATCTGTTTCAGGGCAGTTGTAGTCGATCTAGCGATGCCCGTCCGACCGTCTGTCTGGCTGGTGCGATTTGATCCAAACTTGGTACATCGCAAAATTATTGTCAAACTTAAATCGAGTTCGGAGCAGACCGATATTGAAGGTCCAATCCTTCTAGTACCTCTCCCACCCAAAAAATGTCAACATTTTCAAAGAAAATAGTTTACTGCACAACTGTCGTTTATACACATTTTATATAACACAGAAATGTTTATTAACGTAATTTTTAAGGTTTATCTTATCGTTATCATAACAAAACCTTCTCTTAGCCGCTATTGAGAATCAAAGCCAACATAAAGTAGTAAAGCTAAGAATTTAACACATTCCTACCTTATCCATCGACCATACCTTCTATTATTTTGGACTGGATAAAAGTAAAATAAAAGTTAAAAAGTCTTGTTACCCAAATTCAATCTATAAATAGGAACATTGGTGAAAACAATCTGATAAATAAAGCACAAACACATGGCTTATAAAAAAAATGAAGAATAGAAATCTCCTGGATTGGACGACATTTTCAACAAGTCATTGAATATTTACCCAAAAGGGGCAAAATTGTATAAAACATCTATTTTAAATTCATGCTTATAGAGCTCTTATTTTTCTAGGGTTTGGGAAACAAAATAAGGCTAAGAACAAATAAGGCTTTAGACTGCCCTTCGTCTTATATACCACTAAGTTTATTGTTAAAATTAGAATCCATAATAAAATATAAAATACTGCAATTTATTAAAGCAAATTAAATTCTACCCGCTCAAGAGTTTGGGTTCAAAAGAGAACATAATACATTGAAAAATTAAGAGCTGAACAATCAACTGGAATGGTTCTTTTGGACAAAAAAGCTGCTTTGGACTTGCATTTTAATTCCCATTTTTGCTGATGACACTTCTAGTTTTAGATTATACTAGCTGAACCCGGTGCGCATCGCTACACCTTTCGCTTTTATATGCATTCAAAATTTTATATACAAATATTTTGTGCTTTTAAATAAAAATAAAACAAATTCAAGAATTTAAAAAACCCTATTTGTTATATTGCTTTATTTTTTTCTTCAGGAGCGTAAACAGCCAGCGCCAGTTACAGCTGACCATGAGAAAAGCAAGAACATTCTAATTTTAGTCCGCATGAACTAAGAGTTTCTCTTTGAGATTTATTAATTGTCATAGCAAATGCCATAAGCTTCGCAATTTTATAAAGTTGAATGGCATTTGTGTTGCTATTACTTATACTTCCCCGTAAAATTCGTATTCTCAATTTAATTGGTGTGTAGTGGTGGGACTATGTTCTTTGTTAAATAATATCCGAATCTGAAATGTTTTCATTATAAATTGACAAATACATTTTTAGACCAAATTCAAACACACGTTCCAAATTTCAGTGAAATTTGGCGCACACATTGTATTTGATGCATCAAATACATAAAATCGAACGAAAAATATATGGGAGCTATGTGCACCGATTTCAATGTAATGTAGCAAACTCGTTTTTGTACCAAATTCTGTTACTCATTTTGAACTTCATTGTAATCGGACATACATATAATCGGCCGAAATATATTTGGGAGCTATATCCAAACCTAAACCGATTTCAATATAATTTGGTAAATTAATTTTTGTGGCAAATTCTGTTACACATTTCAAATTTGAAGACTGTATCTATATCCGATCAGTAGATATGTACATACATAATTAAAATTTTTTTGAGGTTCCTCCGATTCTCATTCTATATCTCCAGTTCCAAGTTGAATTTCAAA